TTGTCTCACCGTCTGAATGAAGTTAATACACTACACAAACAAGTCCCGATAAATACGCGGAGTACGGCCGACAAACATTTGGTTGGTCTGGGGTTAATCGCTGATGATGTTGTTGTTGTTGTTTCCGTTGTTTGTTGTTGTTCAACGCTGCCGGCCTTTTTTCGCCTTTTTTTCTCTGGAGAGAGAGGGAGTCCCACCAACCAGCGTGTGTTGCACACACCACACAGCGAGAGCGGGACGGGAGCAGGGTGTGCCCTATACTACTGCTGCTGTTAGCTTTCGGCGGAGGAAGCGAGAGGAGCGATATTGATTGGGTCTCTGTGGGTCCATCGGTTGGTTGTTGTTATTGTGTTGCGACGCGGTGGCAGGGAGCGGCCTCTGCTCTGGAGAGAGGCACACATACATCACAGCACGGAACCAGTAACACATCACGCTCGTTCCTAGACGATGTAGTACCACTGCTGTGCTGTGCACCTCTCTACACTCATTGTGGGCGAGAGGGTGTGTCGCCTCTGCTGCTGCTGCTGTTGCTGTTATCTAAAGCGGTGGCGGAAGCGTCCTGTTCAAACAATCAGCAGCAGCAGCACCAGCCGGGGAATTTTTCAGCGTCCTTTTTTTCCTCTCTAGCTGATGACGATGGATAGCACCTCCCCGTCTCCTCTGATGATAGCATCCCCCCCTCACGGCTGACGATGGACACCACCCCCCCCCTCTAGGGAATGATTATGGATACCCCCCCCCTCTCTAGCTGGTNTTTTTATCGAGAGAAGGGTCCAGCCGTCCCTTTACCTCGTCAACGGTGCCAACGTCGAAGTTTGGTATTCACGAGAGCTTTTCAGCTATAGACTATTTCGCTTTCACCCGCACATTCCGTAGATGTTTTTACCCCGTGGGGATTAGAACTTACGACCTGTGCGACTAGCGGATTACGAGGATACCACTAGACCACCGGGGCGACCGGTACCCTCCGCGTGAAACTCAATTCGGCATGTACAAGTGTCACCTACTTTGTGTCACTGGTTTGGATACAATGACTCCGCGAGACACTGGATGAATATGGGTGGAACCGAGAATGAATGCATTTCCATACGGGAGCAGCCAGCTGCCGAAGACGGGCACGTGCGCAACCCTCCCCCCTTCAAAACTGGTGGTGCATGTGTATGCATCACTTAGACTACGTGCGTTCATCACGTGAGCATCCGAACCGGCCGGGTGTTAAGTTGTGTTTTTATGGTATAGACTACCTACCACACAGCGGTTGCGGGCCGTTTTGACATCGGGTGTAACGCTGCTCTGTGCGGGCTCCCGACCGACCTCGGTCACAACGAGATCGATAAACATCAACCTCTCTTTGCATGTGCGACGTGATCTTTGACCAAACCACGAGAAAATGCGCTCCCGGCACAAGTCATTCCTTCAAGTGGATCTACAGCAAGCACAAACCCGACAAGAACCATCTCGACAAATGTCCTGCAAGATGACACGACACACTCCCAAGTCGAAATGGTTGGAAAGGGCAGAAAAAACGAATCAGCAGTACCGCATGCTACATATACATGGTACACACGAGCCCTCATATGGAAATGCCCAACATATAAACGAAACCGGCCGCCCAACAGACCGAATTAAAGCAAAGACATCGTAAGGGATAGTAGACGGGTGGGGCCTCCGACCTTATCGAACACCAAGCAGTGCGAAAACATACAGAGTCGCCTTCCACTACAGACTCCTTTCCAACACAGGGCCCCCCTATCTGCGTACTCGGCGAAATGCGTGCATGCTCGTGGTAGTGGTTTCACCCAGCGACAAGCCGCACAACAAGTCCCAAACACAACTCGCAGTCCTTCCCAGGATGTTTCGCGTGTCGGCCGTTCTTTGCCTTCACATACCTCAGAAGAATGCTGCACTTCATGAACTTCCAACCCGATTCAACACGAAACATCCTTGGCCGAAGTGAAAAAAATAAAAAATGAACATCGGCAGAGCACCGCATCTTTTCTCTCTCGTTCAATTGACCAAACCCTTCGAAACACCAATTTGTCACCAACCAGCGGAAGAAAGGGGGAAACATAAACCTGAAATGAACTTACCAACACAACAGAACAAAAGCCGGGTCAGCCACATCCGGCAACATACATGTATCCTCCCATCTCCGAACACGAAGATCGGCGACGGGTATCTCGAATACAAGACACGCAACAATCGCATACGGTACGCAACTCCCAGACATTTCTACATTTGTCGGCTTGCATGCAACCACACGGGACTTGTGGAATCAAACTTGCTTGCTCCTTCACTTTTTGTGATCCATGATATAAAACCGCGGAGCAAAACCAACATACGAACGGACATAAAGGCTTTCGTACGACGATGGGCCGGGTGGCACGCCGCACACATGCGGGCGCTCTGTTCTTTGAAGAGCCAAAAAATTGGAACTACGAATTTAATACAAGTGCATACCGAAAAAAAAAATGGAGAACAGCAACTCCCACGATACAGACATGTACGTTGCTCCTTCCAGCAACTTAAAAAACTCTCCACAAAAAAATGACGAACATGTGCATTGACCGTTTAGAGTTTCATGCTGCCCGCCCCGAATTCTTCAACAAAGAATTCTGCTAGGGGGCATTTTCGTTCAAACAGAAAGACGCCTTTGTGCATACCCACGGCTAATGCCACGAACAATTTCATGGAAGAAAAGAATTTGGGGCTTCAAGTGTCGAAATGTGTGTGCAGACGGCAGTCAGTTCTCCAGGATCTAAACAGCGATCACAAGTAGTCAGCCAACCCTCTGTAGTCAGCCAACCCTCTTTTCGCCGTGCCCTAGAAATGCACCGTCGCCATCGAACCTACCAGAAAAAGTTCTTCGACAAAAAGCTACAACCAGCCGTGAAAAGACGACAAACTCAAACCATCTCTTTTGGCGCCCGTGCGAGCCTCGTTTTCGGTGCTCTGCGCAACACGTAACCCAGCCAAGTTGCTCGACGAAAACAAAGCGTTCGTGCTAGATACCAGCTGCAGATGTCGGAAGGTACCGCAAGTCTTCTTCGCCGAGCAAATCAGCTGGGCAAGACTAGGACGTTGTCACCTCGTCATGCGCCTCGCGAGGCGTCACAATCAAATGCGCGAACGGGACCCACACATAAGGGCGGGGCGTTGCTTGTTGTCGTGGTCCCCCGCAACAGAGAGCAACGACACACAAGAACAGAGATACACGCCTATCCGCCCATCCCGCACAGCTAGTGAAAGGAAACAGAAAAACCTGGACAACTTCACACAACGAACAAAGGACGCACAGGAAACGACCGAGGACCTCCTGGACCACACACCCACCAAAGATCACTCCCGTGTGTAATGTGTATCTCATCACCCTCACGTGTCACCACAACACCTGATGGGTTTGGAAATGAGCGCCCCCGAAGAGCGATCCAATAACCTGAAATACAAATGAACCATGCACTATTCAGATGCAAAGTACAACACGATTCGCGGTTACGGGTCACCCTCAATTGCACGGAACACGAGACGCCCACGAAAACTTCGTCGACAGAAAAAGCCACTGACCCACAACGGTATAACAACCGGGCGTCAGGGTACGAGCCCGTTATTCTACAACGAATACCGACACGGAAAGCTCACACACATACATACACACCAGCAACAGGAACCAAAGCACAACTGACTGTCAACTGACTGTTAGTGAAACCGTGAAATATAACATGCAACCTAACATGATGGTGCAGCGCGGCGCGTGACGGGGCGGGACGTACGCCCTCCGCACTACAGCTGAGCATTCGGAATTGCTCTGCGGCAGTACTTGCACGCACTGCTGCTGCCATTTTACCGACTGCTCTTTCGCGTTTATCTTTGATACGTCACGCGTTTTGACCGAGGGCAACGTGTATCGAGAACACCCACGTCGCGCCCCACCCCCCCCCCCCCCCCCCCCCCCCCCCCCCCCCCCCCCCCCCCCCCCCCCCCCCTCCCTCCCTTCCCTACTTTCATAACCTTATGAAAGTTGACGGTTCACACTCAAGGAGTCATTTTTTTATGGATCTACAACTCACGGCGTTGACGGGTTCAAGATTGTTCCAAGTGCTGTCTACCCCCGCCAGAGCGGAAAAAGGATCGCAACTCAAAAACAATCCAGCTACCGCGCGGTAGCCTAAATAACTCGTGTTCCGACAAGCGGCCTGCTGTATGCTAGGACTCATCGTTGTGCCCATGTTGGCACAGCGAGAGGCATCGGCCATGTAGTTGTAGTTATATCGGTGTCGCCGCTTCCCCCCCCCCGCACTTGCATTTTGTTCCTCCTCGGGCCAACCGACGTCACTTCTTCTTGCGCCCCTGCTGTTGCTGGCTCCGCTCCTGCTTCTTGGTGTGCCGCAAGATGGAGCAGCTCAAGCGGCAATCGCCAGAGCAGAAGTCGAAGTCATTGTTCGCGGGGGTCGGGATAAAATTCTGCCCACCAAGAAGCAAACAAACGCGCACGTAGTAGATATCGCCGCGAGACAGACAGCAGAGGTTGTATTTTTTTTTAATTTCCTGAATGCGCATCTAACAAACGCGCACGTAGATATCACGGCGAGACAGAGCGCAGACGCTGAAAGGCATTGTTTTGGCTGTTGGGGGTCGGGATAAAACAATCAACGCACACCAAAGAACCAAGGATACGTATGCGCATAGTCTATTAGTATGCACATGCGTATCATGCGCATGTTTCATATGCATACGCCGGGGCGGAATTGAAAGGTGCACCGCCAGAATCCGCCCAGGGGAAAAACACGGGGCAACATGGCGAGCGGGCGGGCGTGAGAAAAAACAGCTTGTCGGTTCGTAGGAAACATCATGCGTGCATGTGCCGGCCGCATTGTTGTTGTTGTTGTTGTTGTTATCTTCACATTAAAAACCGTTCCGATCTCTCTCTACCCAGTACCTTCGTATGTCCGTACTGATACAACACTCGACGCGGTCGATTTCCGTAGTCGCAGGCTAACTTACCCTTCAAAGGTACAGTCAAATAAAATGGCCCGGGGTCCGCAAGTCAATATAAATCAACGCCAGATATTCTGGAGTCCTCCACTCCCTCTGCGCGATATGCGAAGTAACAACTGAGACTAGGGTCACCATCACGGGCCGGAGAGAATGAGGTACACCCCCTTGGTTCAATCTTGGTACTTCACAACGCAAGCAGAAACAAGGCCATCTGGCAAAGAAAAAGAGAGAAAAAGAGAACAAGAGAAAGAGAGAAGAAAATAAAAGGCTGTTACCCACAGGGGAGTTATCGTTGTATGCTGTCTGGGAAACCATAGACATACAGGTAGCCTTTCGCTCACGCTATGGAGTCATTGCTAATCCATCTTAGACTTATTTCTTTAGAGATGGATTTGCTGTGTGATATTAAGAAAATAAAAAAAAGGAAACAGTAAGGTAAGGGAAAATGAAATACATGGACAGGGGAACAAAACAAAAAAAAATCTACCAGTGGTGATGCTGGCCGCGCGGGTAGTGGGTACACGGTACGGGCGGAGGGGGGGAGGGGTGTACTGTAGTCCAGGGACACAGCAACACAGAGACGTCGGAAAAATGGCGGTACAAAAGGCGGCGGGCGGGTGGAACCTCAACCATTGTTGGGATATGCTAGCTTGTTGGTTCTGTCGCCAGACGGAACACGCCGTGCGGAACGACGCGAGCAGCCGGGGAGGAATGTCATAAAAAATGAGGGCAGTCGACTTGTGTTTGGCTAAAGCCAGCGTCGCATCGCCCAGTGCCGAGAGGGAGAGCCTGTTTCAAGCGGCGTCCGGTGAACAACGGAGCGCATGCGCGCCAACAGGGCCGTGCTGAGACTGCTGTCGCATGAAAAAGTGGTCTGTTGGTGCTCTCCCACAAATAATATTTTCTAGTTCTCGAAAAAACTACACAGATGACGGACCTCCCGCCCGCCGGATCGGACCGGACAAAACACTATTAAGATCAAGAGAGCAAGATCAACGTGATAATGCTGGAGAGACACCCCTCTCCGCGACCGCACACCTCGAGAAAAGCACACAAGGCACGTCTTCACGCTTTCCCCCTCGCTTGAAAACTAAAACCCATCTTTTACAAACGGGGCGACACTGAGAGATGGTGCGCCTGGCACAGATTCGGGGATCGCCACACACGGACCCGCAGGGCAGTGGCCTTTCATCTGGCCTTGGTTCTTCTCGGAACGACCACCACTATTTACTCTTTGTCATCTTGTAATCATGCGCGTTTTCCCTCCGGAGATGCTCAAACACTAAGGCCATTGAAAACTCGCGCATCTAACGTCGCCGATGGGCTTATACAGACATGCATCTTCCACAAAAATGGGTTGATGTAGCTCCCTAAATGCGCGTATAGAAAGCAGGCGCGCTCCCCCCCGACACACTGCAACATCACCATCCAACAAGGCGACATGACTAAAGCCAGGTTGGTTTCGCAGCAAAAAACATCGATCGTTCGCATGTAGAAAGAAGTACAACAAGCAAACACGACCTTTTCAGTCACACTCCGAACCCCGCACCCGCTCACCTCATGGCACTGGTGGCATTTCCTCAGCGCCCACGGGTCCTCGTTGAAGATGCTGCGCCGCTGTTGTCCCTTCGTTTCCTCAGCTGGGAGGTGGATCTCCTGGATCGCCCAAGGGAGAGACATCACACCTGTCTGTCGCTCTTGGGTGCTTGGGTGGAGTGGCGGTTGAGCTACGGTGAGCAGTTTGGTGCGGCGGGAACGAGCTGTGAACCGGCTACGAGCTGTATACCACGGGCGGTACAGTAGTGCAGCTGGTGGTGGTGGGAAGGTGGATTGAGATCCTGTGTTTCGCACGGAACGCGGTGTAGAAAAGTGTGAGCTCGCGGGTTGTGATTTTGTGTTGTGGTTGAGGAGAGGTGGCTCGGCTGCGCACGGAGACTTTCAATGCTGGCTGGAAGCTAGAAGTAAAGAGCCCGTTTCTTTAGGTATACACATGCGTGCGTCTTCGTTCTTTAGGTAACGAACAGCCCACCAGTATCTTCATACAGGTCAGCACAGGTATCTTGCTGGATGGAAATATGGATACTTTAAGACTGCTTTGACAGGGTGGATATATATATATTATTTGGTAAAATGGATATTCCAGCGCCACGTGTGGACTGCACCGCCACATAATGGTTGGTCGGTCAAAATCCCTGCGCCGTCCTCCGTATCCTGTGTGTGAGCTGTCGCAAGTCGGAATAACCCATGTACACAGGCTCTTTCCAAACCCATTCGTTCAGAAAGCCATCTAACATGTATGCATACGATGCATAAGAAACAACAGGTCGACAACCCTGCTTTCTTCCACTCACTGAAGATGGCTGCGTGCACGCGCTACATGCAGCAGCAGTAGCACCACCCCGATAGACATAGATAGCATCCAGCAATTGAAGGAAGCACTTGTGTCAAGGCCACCAAGATATCGTCCGTTGGTTCGTCGTGAGTGCCCAGCTCATTACAGTAACGGCTGCTTGTTCTTATATGAATATCGGTTGGAGTGGAGGCAGCTGTGGTTGGGGGTCGAGAGCCTCATCCAGACTTGTCCCATCACGTCCGTCTACCTCCCTCGGAGGGGGTCGGGCTATTATTCATTCAGACGTGACTGGATGCTCTTGGTTCATTCTCTGTGGCACCCCCTAACCCACAAAAAATGCGTACCCACAGCAGTTCTCTAGGGATCTACTTGAAGACTCTTTGTAAAATCCGTGGATATCCGAAGAGGTGATGGCTACATCCATTTTCTTGAGAAATGTAGACCTGCTGAGACAGCAATTTGCATTTTATGGCTGCAACGAACATGCGATGTTGTTTCTCTGGGTAAACCAACAGCAAACAACTCCCTCCCCGCCCACACTCTGCACTCCCAACCGTGCCACTACTGTGCAACTACAGCAGTAGTTGAACACCGCATACAAGAGTCGCGTGCTCGTTCGGAATGCAAACACACATGCATTTGCAAATTTACAACGCCGCGACCCGGCATTTGGATATGCATAGCATAGACTACGTTTGGACGCTGATGAGGTGTCTGATGTGCAGACACCATGGTGAACAATAGGAAGACACCAAAGAATTTTTTCCCCGGATGGTGTAGCTTCGAAGTACTCCTGTAGGTTGGGGACGTCTGGACGCCTGAAGTCATGATACCGGCGTTCCCCATCCAACAATCATATCCCGATCCATTCGCTGGTGTTCATAATCATAGATCTAGCCGCTGGTTGAGGCCCACTAGAAAGAAGGGTGGAAAAAACTGCTGGAAAATCGAGACGGCAAGAAAAAAAAAATTGATACCGGAGTGGTACAGCAGGAGTCTACGCATTTATTTGGAAGAAACATTCGAAGTGTCACCGTTTTCGCGGGAAAAATGGTCCATTGATTTCTCAAACCATTCGAAAAAAATGCCGCCCGAATTTTTATTTTGGAGTGGCGGTATTTTTTTCCGTTGTGGGTCAAGAAATCAACTTGTACGTATGCATAGCTCCGCTGGCATCCCGCCAAAGAGGCTTTTCCCAGAAAACTAGGAATGAGGTCATACCGTTAGCGGACACTAAAATACCTGCGTCTCATTCCCTGAGCAGAACTTAGGGACATCTCCCCTTCCTTGTGACTGACAGGCTCAGTCATCTTGTGTACATTTACATGCAAGACAGCTTTCTTTTTTGATCTCCGACCAGTCGGAACGTCGTAAAAAAAGACTCCCAACATATCCCCTTCGACTGTGGTTAAACTCGAACGGGTAAGGGCTTTCTGTGTTTGTTCTATTTTTCCTAATAACAAGATAAAAAAATCCCCGCCGTGATGCGAGCGACCAACAGCCGTTCCCGTGCTTGCGCTGAAACACAAACGAATAGAGAAATGTCCAATGAAATATACTTTGCATCAACCTTTTGAGCAGTTCCCACCCGCGGCGCCGCCTGCCTTGCTCCACGCCCACGTCCAAGAACAACGCATCTACGGCTGGCTGCACTATTCAACGCTCAAATCCAGCGGGTCACCCAAGTTCGCTTTCAGATGACGCCGAAAGCCAGCTGTCCCTTCTGCGCCCACCGCGAGGTAGTAAGGGTTGCATGGGGTTATTCTCGCCCGCGCCGCTGAGAGCCGACACCTAGACCGGGCAGGTGGAGGTGGGCGGGGACGTCAACGCATGTAGGTTTTCCCCAAAGTGACCTGGCCGTTAAAACCACGCATGCATTCCTTCAGAGACCGCGTACAGCAATATCGCCCCTACTTTACTTCTGACATGAGATACCACCCGCCAGCATTCGGGTGCTCAATGCGTCGCTGCCACGGTTTTCACTAGATTCCGCATGGCGTCATTCTCGTTGTCAACACCAGTCTCCTGTTGCGACGAGCGTATTTGCGCTCCTGACGTGGAGCGTTCCGTAGTGCATGATGTCATCCTCGTCTCCTGTCCTCACGGACTCCTCAAAGAGGAGGGCGATGGGGGATAAACCCCAACCGCTCGGCCATCCTATACCCCGCAGATCGCTCGTTGACAACAGCAGCAGTGCGTCCGGGGCAGGAGGTCCACTACGCAACGTTGCAACCTTCGAATCGACCCAACCATCCTCTGAGCTCATGCTGTGCACGTTGCACGTGCCCACAGCCGAGCCAGGCACGCCCGACAATTTCACCATCCCTTTCCAACGCCAAGCCATCGATCGATTGAGCAACCATCCCACCCCACGACACAACAGCTCCACTACACATCATCGCCGCCACTTCTCACCGCGGTGGTGCTAGCGGTGATGGGCTGCCTCGCGGTGCGACTCCGGCGTCCTTGGTCTCCTGGCCTTGCCGTTTCAATTGCCGACCTTCGAATTTTGCAACATGCGGGTGGCGTGAAGGTAAGCAGGCGTACGTAGGACCAACAAGGTTTGGCTGTGTTACCAGGAGCTGACTGACTGGCCAGGGGAACCGACAGGATTGCTACGGGGGTTGCACTCATGAAAACGCATGCCGTAGTCGTGGGACCATTTGACAGGGCTGCATGGGGGGTGTAATGAAGGACAAGAGCTAAATAGGGTGCTCCAAAGCACTCTCCGAGGTAAAAAATAACACTGCCACGCATGTCAATTTTCTTTACCCGCCACATCCACTATTCCGTCCTCCGGTTCCCCCACCGCCGACTTTAGGTGCCGCGTCCTCCGCTCCGGATAAGGCCAGGAGCAACTCGTCGTCCAGGGCGGCGAGGAGAGGATATAGCTCGGTCGTCAGGAACAGGGTGACGACCAGAATCGAATACACCTATCGACATTAACGCACAATTCATTAGCGGTTGTGGGGGGGGGG